CCCCACACACACACACACAAACCCCAACAACAAACAAAAGTTAACGCTACTCTCAAGGCAAGAATTATATATTTTTCTAAGTATGCAAGCTGCATTGTGACAAAAGCAAACCATCATTTGATCATAAATTTGCTCACTCGTACCAAGTACAAGGTATGACAGTACTCAGCTTGTAAACTTGTTCAGTAACCACACATGGAAAGATTAGAAAAATCACGAAATGTTCTATGCCGGTATAAAAATCTAAAATATCAACCGTGTCCATATTAGTGAGCTTATCCCTCAAAACACGTCGATCTGTACAATATATCGACTGCTCAGTGTAACGAAGTGCCCAGTGGGGGATCAGCAAACCAATCGCCAGACTCGTCGCCTGAAAGCAAACGCGTTCGGTTTCGAAGCGACGAGTCGGGTGATCGTTTTGTGTCACGATAGCCACTTTACACCCTCAATCTGGCTAGCAAACCGAACAAACCCAACCGAACGTGCCAACCACATAAAATGGCAACATTAGGGAAATCAAAAAAATATTCTATGCACGTATAAAAATCTAAAACATCAACCATGTCCACATTTGGGTATTTTTAGCTTTAGTCAGTCTTTTTCGGCGCTTGCAGCTGCATAAGGTCATATGAGCGCCAAGGGGTGGATGTCAACAGAAGTCCAAACGGGGAATCAGGCTTACTCTGCTCACCTCTCTAGCCTCAATAACACAAAGGCTACTTCGACTAACAAGGCACCCCGGAAATAGCTGTTTGTTTTAGAGTAGAGGTTTTACGGCGCTCGCAACTGCATGAGCCGGAAATAGCGGGTCAAAAGAGAGTGACAAACATACAAAAGAAGTAGAGGGAAAAAGACGATAGTTAGGATTAGGAAAGAAAAGGCAGCAGTTCCCCGTATGCTCTTCAGGCACAGTTATGAGCATGTCATTGATGAATCAACCCATTTACAATTCCACTGAGCATAAAGACATGTTAATGTCCCTACTTTTTAGTTTAGTTTTAGAGGAGGTTTTACAGCGCTCGCAACTGCATAAGGTCCTAGGAGCGCCAGAAGATTCGAGGTGTTACAAGAGAGTAACAAACATAAAAAGAAAAATGGGAGATAAGGACGATAGATGTTTGATAGGAAAGAAGAAGCAAACCACACCAGAGCACCCGCCAACCACCCACAGAATCCACAGGAATCATTATACATACGTACATGAGTACACTCAGCAGTCGATATGAGCTCATATGGCATACAACAAGAACAGCTTGAAAACAAAGACAGCACAAGACCAATACACAAGGGGACTATCCTACAACATGTACAAACTCTTCTCAAATGTTTGGTCTCAAAAGAAAAATGAATTTGTGAAAGTAGGTGTTTTGACACAACTTAGATCCTTTAGAAGGCGGCATCAAGGCGGGCTTCTTATCCTGCCTGTCGGGTCTACTCCAGGCTGAGAGGGGTACAACATCCCAACAGAAAGACCCATAATGAGATAGTCGATAAAAATTTCTTTCCAACTTGGGAATTCAACTCGGGTCTTCTGTGCGCAAAAGCACCTAACAGCTGTTTTAAACTAAATCTAGGAAGAGAAATGTTACCCCAGTCAAACTGAAGTAGTCAAGTTCCATCACTTCATATAATATGCCATCGATATAATTATACAGTCCTGCACGCACATAACGAAATCAATGGAACACAGAAATCTTCTTGTTCGTCAAGTAAAAATTTTGCTATGTAAATCATTTTTTAAAAGAAGGATTCATTATCCACAAAAGAGCTTAACACGAACAGAAAAATTCCAAATTCATTACAATTCATAAAAATTCAGGCCTAGAAATTCTAGCAAGTCATAAACAAACCCAACTAACTAGCATTGCATGTACCAAAAAGAGAAAGAAAGCTGTAGAAGAAAAAAGACAAAGCACTCATAAAAACTAATTTCTTTCCACATTTACACACAATTAGAAAAATAATGAAACCCACTGTGAAAAATGGCAGTGATTTTAAACAATTCTAAAAACAAAAACCTCAGCATCTCTTTGGAGTCTTTTCAATATTGGCAGCAGCAGTAGGGTTCAGTGGTTAGCAACAAGAATGGAAAATAATGAAAAATGTCTCACAGTATCAATATATGAACCTGGTTCAAGTCTGCCTTATTTAGAGGAAACTCAGTCTAAGGAATGGTTAGGTTTCTAGATCTACTAAAAGAACCAATCAGACCTTTTCTGTTTTAAACTACATCGAAGAAGAGAAATGTTACCCCAGTCAAGTAGTCAAGTTTCATCACTTCATATTTATATATATATATGCCATCTATATAATTATAGTCTAGCACGCACATAATGAAATCAATGGGACGCAGAAATCTTGACATAATGTAAGAATTTCACCATGTATGTGTTTTAAACACAAAGAGTATACGTGAATAAGCAAAAATTCAGGACCTGAAAATCTGTTCGCTATGTGCGTGTTCACTATGTACGTGCAAGACTGTATATAAGTACATTATATCTAATCCATCCGATTTTCACGTAAAGTTCAGCTCGATTTGAGTAAATCCAAGTGCACAACCCTCTGAATTTAAAATTCTTTAACTTACTTTAAGTTTCAAATATTTGGCACAAAATATTTTTTCTAAAAACAACTGAATTAAATTCCTCATCAGTACAGTCATCATTTGGCAGTGTAAAAGCACATAGTGTCTGACCAAATTATTAGTCATTGACACAACAAAATTACACATTACTGGATGAAACTAAAATAACAATCAAATAAAAAACTACACTGAGCTCATAGCTCATGTCAAAACAGATCTGTGTTGAAAAGGCCACCCAACACAAGAATTGTCATGATCAAAGAGCAGATTAAAATAAATCTACATTTTAAAAAGTTTTAGCAAGAGTTTTACGGTACTTGCGACAATAAGATCATAAAAGTCCCAAAGATTACAAGTGTTATATGAGAGTAACAAACACAAAAAAGAAGGGGGAGAGATCAGGACAATAGATGCTTGATAGGAAAAAAGGAGGAACCACACCAGAGCACCCGCCAACCATCCATCAATTTACATATTTTATTCAAGATATATTTATGTCAGCAGTAGCAACGGGCACCGTTTCTCTACAACACTATATTTCCTGACCTGTGATGACTGCACATTTAAAAGTAATTTATCGGTCTTACTCTAACTCACAGCACACAATTCTGGTACCGTGCACATAAAAATCTCTCATAAAAATAAAATATGCACACAACATAACCATAGTGGAACAGCTGCTTTGGGGGGGGGTCTTTTGTATAAAGAAAGAGGAAAAATCAAGCTGCCATAATTGCTAAACAGCAGGACCTGGAAATCTTGGCCATGAGCAAAAGCAGAAAGCATATTATGTCAAATTACCAGATTTAAAAAAGCATCAATAAATCAGCTCGGCACAACGTACAATCTCACAGCGATCAAATGCAACCTGTAATAGATAACGCACCCGGTTCGACATTTTGAACTAAAATGTACTTTAAAAATTTTTTTTTTTTTTTGGTGCAAGTTCAATCAAAAAAGGATAGGGCTGAATCAGAAGTCTTTTACACTCATCATATTTTATCCTGAAATATTCATCTTTAGGCTAAAATTTGCAACACTGAGGATGAGAATCAATTTGAACTCCTAATTCTTTCTGTACTAATTATCTTTGATATGGTTTATCTCCCATGCATAATAAAACTTCTTCTGAGGTGAGACTCATACTAGATTTGTTTTTTTTAGGTTTCAGATACAATTATCTTGTATTTTCTGCTTTTGTCTTCAATATAACATCTACTACTTTATTTGATAAAATGTTTCATTACAGGCATCTTCCAAACACCACCTTCAACCCATTACATACTGGCTACGCACTTGGAAACCATTCTGGCATGCAAAAAAGCAACACCCTCAGAGTTATTTCTATTTTGCTCATCATGACTGTGTAACATTGTTTTGAGCTGTCACTCAAAATTCTCTCTCTACTGCCATCGAGCACTTAACTAAAACTTTAACTAAAAATAACCTATTATAAAGTATAAAAGTAAATCTATCTTGAAAATTGCTCTCCATACCAGACTGAGCTGCCCATGGAAAATAACCATTTTTCAACAGAATATTATACATGTGACCACCTCGGGACAAGACACACACATCAAAATCAAGATGTGGGCAAAAGACAGTCAACTTCCTGTGAGGGGTCAAAACACGAGTTAACAAAAATTAAAAATCCTTTCTTAATTATCTTTCAAAACACACAAAAAATCTTTTGATTTCAATAATTTTCTACCCTCCCTTCTCCCCTGTTGTGCAATAATAATAATAATAATAATAATAATAATAATAAAACAGTGTGTCCGTCAGTGTCTGACAATGACCAAAGCATCTCAACTGCTAGGTGAAAGACACTTTCAAACGTCATTTTTCAAAAGAGCATAATGGCGAAGTCTTACACACTAAGCAGTTGATCTACAGAGAAGAATATTTTTAAAGCGAAATGGAAGGAAAAAAAGGGATTAAGATGACTTGTGGCTTCTGCTATGGCTTAAGATACCCGAGCATTTAGCATCTATGGGACTGCGGATGAAATACTCATGAAGCCCGACTGCTTCCCCAATTCTGTGGACGAGTTTGCTCATAAGCAAAATGACCTATATATATCTAAACAAAGGCTTGTTGTTGCTTCCTAAAATATATTTATTTTTTTCATTAAACCATTCATCAGTTCCATTTTGATACTTTGCTTCTGACTTTCGGCAATTTAATGTGGAAAGCGATAACATGAGTTCACAAAATGATGAAATTTGTATGGACACAGACAGTGCTAACTCGAACAAAGACCTTGATTACTTAGATTGAAAGACTTCAAATCAAGAAGAAAATGGTGAAAGATAGAACTGGAACCAGTCATCATTGATTGAAGAGCAATTTACTCTGTAAGTAGATCTAGATCTTGTCTTTTATCCCTGTTAGGAAATGACTTTGAACAAAAACTTACAATTACGTAACTGATAACACCAAAACGACTCAAATCATCATAATATCTCAATGAAAGTGTGTTTTAGCATAGGGAAAGTCAAGTGAGAGGCCGGTCTTGTAGGCGTTAAAAGCAACATTACATTTCCACTTGTGGAAGGGCGCATCTTCGGGCCTCTCTCTTGGCTTCAGCATGCAACTTATTCACCCCTCAACACACCTCCTTTCCAAATTAGCAGTTGACTAGAATTGCTTCAATTAACTGCCAGGGAGTATGAGAAATTCTATTGGAAAGAATACAGACTGGATAGGGGAAAACAAAGAAACAACAGAAAGTTGTCGGGAGACACTCTATTGTAAATTTAAGTATTGGCTTTTACGTTGCACAAATGAAAAGCTCAAAAACATTAAAATCATATTTCTCAGTATTGTCTTTTGAGAGGTTGCCTTACCAAAATTCATTTATATTTAAAGTAAAACCCCTACAAACCATGTTTTCTAAACTTGAATACCTTAATAATCTGCACAAGACAGAAATTCAGAAAAAAGGAAAATGTCTTGGTCCTTTCTGTCAATTACTTTGATTTTCTAAGCTGCCACAAATAATATCAATTCAAACAAAATTCAGGTGTATCATAAATATGAATATGGGATTCTCATACAGACAGTATGGCTATAATTACTATGAAACAGGATTATGTTCTTAAAAGAAATATGCTGTATTCCCAGTCTTTCTCTAATGTTCATTCTCATCTACAAGTTAAGTAAAAACCGGCATATGCTGAAAAATATAGTAATGAGATCATAATGGAGATCTTGAGCTAGACCATGGCGGCCCCCTACACAGCACCAGATCATTTATTGTATAGTTTAACATGACACAAAGTTAATTATAACTATATCCAGTGCAGTATTCATTAATAACACGGAATTGTATATGCTTTTCGCCCCAAGTGACACAATTTAAATCATATAGGAGGTAGACTGCCTCTATCTTACATGTCAGGGCTAACCCAGGCTGAGAAGATTACAACATTCTTGTAGACAGATGCAGATTCTCATAAAAGATCGAGCTCTCGCCTTCGACATGTGGCTATCTGCACACCACAGATGCCAGTACGCATTAAAAAAACCCTGCAGCTATCTCCTCAAAATCTTAAGACATTTATTGAGGTAGACATGCATCTGTGAGGAAACTGAAATGCTAAATCAAATTATCAAGTGTAAATAAAGAAATACCCATTATATATATATCATCAACTTATTTTGAAGTATTTAGGCATACACAATGAAATTAAAATCATTCATTTGGTAACAGATTAAAATAAAATATCTATCCTATTCTTAACGGTCACCTCACCATCTTAAGATGTTTTTACATGAAAAGAAACATTTTTGGTGTACACTTCCCCATTCGTTCAACATGCAAGCATTAAATGCAACAATTATAATAAACAAAACAAAACAAAAGGGAAAATCCACCCCGATGAACATATCACAATCTTACAGGACAATAACCAACAAGCCAATTGTCTACCGAAAGCAGTATATAACGTATCACTGATAGCAAAAACACCATGCAACAAGAACCAACAAAAGCTTAAACCAAGATATCCCTAACCTGTAAAGATCTCTGTACGCTTCGAGCCAACATTTCAGTTTTATCAAATCAACATTTCATGAAAAAAAAAACAACAACTGGAAATAATAAACTGAAGGAACAGACAATCAGAATGCCAAATTTTCACATGTCATCACATTTATTTATAACACAATTCAAGTCTCAAAGTCAACTCAAACAATGTAATTATACAAAATGGATATTAACTCTTTATCTCTGAGGAACCCTTTATGGTACTAAATCTAAATATGACAAAAACGTCACTAAATTGGTCATTAAATCAAAACAAGTGAAGGTATTTTGACAGTTTTTCATCTAATCGATGAAATCCCGATAAAAAAGAGCTGTCTTCGGTAAATGCTAAAAAGTAATTTGATGTCAAAGTCGTCGTAAAAGAATGTGTCCAAGCCGCTGTCTGCCACTCATCGGTACAGTGGTTCTGACCGCGAGCCCCTGGAAGCAGTTTTCCGGAGAAAAATAAAAGAGTTAAAGAAGTAATAACGACCCAAATTGCCTTTAATTAAAATAAGGAACTAACATCAACAGTCTATGCTGTTTGACTGAACTTGTTATAATCTCCTCAGCATCTCTATCACTCCAAAACATTAACCCACTTTATTCTATGCCCTGTGCACTGTGACTGTGGTCAATTTATTTGAACAACAGTCCATGTCACCTGTTCAAATACAAATTCATGAACAATGACTCCATTAGTATCAGCAGATTTAAAATGACAGGCAGTGGCCGCAAATAAAACATATAAACAAAAGTACTCATGATTCCACACAGCAGCAGAATTACAACATAGTACCTTGAAAGCGAGACAGGAGTTGCTGCACAGAACCAAAAGTAAAATACCAAAACCAATTCAAGGTGCAAATGGGGATTTCTAACTAAAAATATACATATATATATATATATATATAAGGAAAAAAATTGGATGTATATCGTGTAAACACAAAGAAGAAAAGAAAAAAATAATCTTAAATGTACAGGTTTTATTCTGGTTTCACCACTGCAAGATTGTACAAGAGGCAGGATCTCCACCTGAATCAACTTTTATAAATCTGCAACAGAACAGAGCAGCAAAGGGAGAGATCCTTGAAAATCCTCAAACAACCCCAACTTCAAGAAAGTCCCATTGTGGACTTGACCAGGATCATCAGCAACATGTCCCAGCATGATATCAACACAGCTAAAGGCACAGACACAAAGAGCACATCACAACATCAGAAAAAGTTAATACAGTCAAACCCCACTATACCACCTACCATGGGACGAATATGAAGTTGGAACAGCATAATAATAATAATAAGACTACGCAACTGAAAACTTCTGTTTATCAATAAATCCCCCCAAAAATCAGCGAAGCAAAAGCCTCCCCATAAATGCAAGATGTCAAGAAAAAGCGGCTAATCATGAAAATGATTGCTTCACAATATAGCAGTGACACACAGCTTCCTGAGAAGTAGATAGGGTTTGGTTCGATAAAGGGCCTTTATCAATACTGGAAGAATATTCAAGAAGCTGGAGCTATGACTTCGACGTCTATCTCCAATGAGACTCGGCCACTTGGGTGGAGAGCTTTTACAACTCCCAAAACAACACAACTCAAGAACTCAATATAGGGTGTTTTTACGTCCCCATCGGCACAATTTAAATATTTCAGGAGGCATGCCCTGCGCTGAGATGGATACATTCCAGCAGAAAGACCAAGATACTCTTATAAAAAAGGTCTCCCAACTCGAGAATCGAACTCGGGTCTTCTGCATGCAACAGCGAAGCGCCTAACCACTACACCAAAGGCACCGATTTAAAAACTCTGTACTGGAGATTTTAAAATATGGGCCATCCCCACCACAGGCCAGGACACTGAAAAGATGGGGACAATCTGGTTTTGTAAGAATATATGGTCATACATACAGTATATATCAATATTCTGTACAGAATGGGTTGAAAAACTTACAGATGGCTGCCCCTGAAATGTGAAAGAAAGAAAGCAGAAAAAGAAAAAAAAGTATTAAGTAACAACCCTTTTTCTTCTAATACTGAGTTCACCAAATATGCATTTGCAATAAAAACAAAAACAAAACAGAAGCATCATCACATTAGGTAAAACCCATCTCCAGAGCACAATGATCTGATGAAGTCTTATGAGGTCAAGATCCCAGTCTAAAGACTGATACAAGCACAGCTGTGCTCTCTAAAAATTTCATTTAGTCATTTCCAAGAAAAAGTAGGCTACCTAGTTGGCAAAAAAACTTGTCTTACCACATCGTTACTACAGACAACTGAAAGAGTAAATAAAGTGGAGTCTGTTTAAACCAAAATCTGCAGGTTGCTGGATTTTCTTCAGTTTAGCCAGGTTTGCCGTTAATAAGGGGGGAAAAAAAAGGTGATTTTCTTTTCTTTATGTTTACCACTTATTTCAGATTAATCATATTCAGTTTAAGCGGACCCCACTGTATTTTCAAATGGCACAATGTCAGGTAAAAGGAAGACAAATCGTTGTTCCTCTGTTTTAGAAAAACACTGATAAAAAAGTCTCAGTCCACTGATACTACATTTGCATCTATTAACTCAAAATGACGAAAAAAACAAACAAACTTTCGATCAGTGTTTGTTTGAGACCATAGCCACACACACAAACCATAATCCATTCACTTTCTCATGCCCATTGTTTGCACTGCTATATCTCACTTATCTCTTGTTTAAATGCACTGAGAATTTGCATATGGGTTTGATATGCTTCCAGGATAATTCTACCGCAGTGAAAATTAAAAGCCATTACCGCTTTTGGCTCTTTTGTTTATTGTAAAATTATGCACACGAATAAAAGAGGTAGTACAGTTGACCCTCTGTAATGGCCACCTGTCCAAGACAATCCCATGTACAAACGACAGCTTCCCATCCCACCCCCGTTACATTCTTTTTCTATATCATAAAGACACTGTCCAAGACATCCACTTGTCTAAGATAACCACTTTTCTCCTCGACTATGGGTGGGCGTCTTAGACAATTTCGACTGCCAGTCATTTATTCTTATATACTTATTTATTTGTTCAAATGGTCAGTCCAGGGGTTGTGAGGATAATTCTCTTTTTTTTTCTCCGAACAGATTATTACTGACTCTAGGGTAGAAGTGAGCGTGGTCGACCAGGGTGGAAGCCTCTGGAGTTACCAGGTTCTTTGCTGAAGGTGGTGAAGACATGATCGACAGGCACACCTGGGGAACAAGTAGACATATATATATAAATCTGCCGTCCGCCGACAAAATGCTTTTTTTTTTTTTTCATTTTTGGACCACCAAGGAATCTTAAAAATGGGCAATTTGCACACAGGACCTCTGAGAGTTTTTGCCCTTATCTGAAAAGGTCAGGTGTTAGATCTTACCTACCATAAGATCAGGGGTGTGGCTGAAAGACAACAGTAAGAAGGAGCCAAAAAGTAGCAGTAGAAAGGCTGCAGAAAGAGCCAGGGTCCCAGAGGAGGGGAGAGGGGGCAGAAAGTGAAGACAAAAGCAGATGACAGAACACGGTTAGAGAGCAGGACAGGAGGTGAAAGGAGAAAATTTTAGAGAAGAAAATCTTCCATCAGTCAGGTTTTGAACCAGGGACCTATTGAATGCAGGGTTTCTGCCACGAACTTCCCACCAAATTCAAGGCGATTTCAAGGAGGTTTCTAGGAGAAATTTTAAAAATTCAAGGAGATTTGGTCAAGAAATTCATGACAAAAGCCTATTTCCCATAGGCCTACACTTATCCGAAAGAAATCATAGTTTCGATTTTCCAACAAAAACTCTTTTCCAGGGTGACTGCCACCCCAGCTTCTCCCAATTTTCCAGGGGGGCTCATCTATTTTCCAGGGGCAAGTTACATAACAATGACAGCGCGTGCTCCATTTATATATTATATATAATATACACACAAACGTGCGCTCATGTAGGTACATTCTATCCAGTCAAAAACATGTCAGTGTGGCACAGGGGTATTGCTAGACTTAGATATTTCAGTCTGCTCTTTACTTATTTATATTTTTCCTTCATCATACTCGCACTGTATATATAAAAATGAATCTTCTTTTGAGCCTGAGAAAAGGCCAAGAGCCAGAATATCGACTGTCAAAAACCATTTTGGGTACCAAGGTATACATAATAAACGTGAAAGACAAACTCAAAGTAGAGTACATGAAATAACTTGACCTATTCAGTGTGAGAGGTGTAAGAACTGTGGGAGGGCAAGAATATGTAGTGACACTGAAAATCTGCGAATCTTGAACAAAAAGCTAAAATATATAAATATAATACAATACATGATGTAATTTACTGTCACCCACAAAATAAAACGGGAACCCTTTAGTTTAAATATTAAAATAAAACATGGCTTACAAGGTTTGAGTATGAGTATGACGGATCCCGATTCCACACAAAGCCAGCACCAACGCGCGCTTTGCAGAGAGCTCTAGATCTAGATCTAGTTGTAGTCAAAATTTTGAAAAGTAAAATCTACTTCCAAGTTCAGTTATTGTCATCCTGTGTTGTCTTCAACCCCATCCCCTCCTCCCCCGTGTGCGTCTTTAAAAAAATCAACAATCCCCCCCCCCATTCCCGAGTACTATACTTCGTAGCGCTTTGACTTTGAATGAACTTTGGTGACCTCACTGACCTGTCACGATGGTGAGCCCGACAAGATGCTTGTATAACTTTCTTTTTCTTTCGATCTTTTTTTTTTTCACAAGTGACAGCACAGGACAAAAGATTTATTTTCACGGTGACACAGCGTTTGTAATGCACAACCTGCATGTTACAAATGTTGCGTTATCACAATTATCAGACTACTACCGGCAAATTTCTGGGTGGTAACGAAAGCGAAAGTAGATCTTGATTTTTCCCGATCGAGCTTCGGTAGGGGGCTCATCACTCATACCCTTCCGCCTGCCACCATAGCTGCCCGTTCGCGTGTAACGTACTCTCAGGCTGGGAAAAGTCAAATATCACAATAGCGACAGGCAAAAATGAACTCAAGGACGTTATTGGATTCAGTTTTCAAGTATTCGAGAAATTTATATATTTCCCCGGGTCTTTCCCGGGGCAATTTACAAAGATTTCTTCTAATTCCCCGGGCATTCCCGGGTCTCGGCGATTAAAAAAAAAATTTCTGGGTAATTCCCGGGGGCCCCGGGCCTGGCAGTCACCCTCTGTCCGATCTGGCAAAATTCAACGAGTTTTTAAGGAGGTTCTTCAAATTCAAGGAGTCTTCAAGGAGATTTTTCCATGAATGCGAATTCAAGGAGTTTTCAAGGACTCCTCGAATTCAAGGAGCCCGCGGGAACCCTGTCAATGAGAGGCAAACACCGTAACCTCTATGCCACGAGATCCTCCCTTTCAATCCTTTGATACCCCACACCAACGCAGCAATGAAATGGTTGATTACACTGAAGAGCAAGACAGGAGACTTGTCATGAAGATATCAGCATCATTCTTGGTCAGGTGACCCACTTTAGAAAAGCATGTCTTAGAAGAGACCAAAAAAACCCTGCCAAACTCTCTCTCTGTTTACTTATATATTACAAAAATAATGGGAGTGCTTTTTTAATTGAATTGGATACCTACAGCTGCAATGTGTAATTGTGATGTCAAGTATAATATTCTATGGTTGAATGTCAGACAAAAGAAATCTTAGATTTCATCAGTTTGAACTGCGCATAATCAAAATACAGTCAAGTACCTTTAAGACAAGGCTATTTAACACAACATTCCTGTCACAACAAAAGGATTTCAAATTGGCGGGGGTTTCTCTCTCTCTAATCTATACATTGCAAATTCACATTACAAGAAATTTTCTTAACACAAAGAAATTCTCTGACCTCATGAAATTCATGTAACAGTTTTACTGTAGTTCTAATTTCTCACCTGCAAGGTACTCTATACTGGGCACACATATGTCGGCAAACTGCCCGATGAGATTGCCAAAGGCCGTGTTGACCGTCTTGCTGTCGGTGAAGGACTGATCTTGGCTGTCCGAACCAGCAGCCTGAGAGTCGTCAATAAAGATGGAGCCCCAGAACTCACTGACCATCAGCTCTATCTCCTCATCTGTCACCAGGGTGCTGTGCTGAGAGTTGGAGAACACAGGGGACTTAATTGGCGATACAGGAAGAAGGACTTTGCTAAAATTCTCTCCCCTTCAAACAAAGATACCCTCTGGAGATTTCATGTCCACAGAAACAAAATATTACTTTTTCAGCACTGGTGCCCCACATGGGGACTATTTATTAAAATTATGTAAGGTGTATGGTTGGGTGGGTCTACGCTACTGTCCTTCTGCTCAAAGCCACATGATAAAATGTGTGAGTTTGGGAAACCAGGAACAAGTCATATAGACAAAAATCAAGCTCAAGGCAAAAAATGGTCAATTTCATGTCCTATTTTAAAAGCACCAGGAATAAAGAGAGCAATATCGATGTTCAATATATTGTTTTCAAAATGTATAGCTCTTCTAGGAGCTTTGGTCATTTCTGTTTTTCCTCTTTACTGCTTTGATCCAAAGTCAAATGACATTGTAAGGAGCTTCAGACTCGAACAACTGCAATTACCAGGAATTTTCGAGGCAGAAAGAAAAGTGTCAGCGATTCAAATAATTCAGTCAACATTAACCACCATAGTACTGTACCAAGGAGTTTCCATTGGTCATACTTTACCACAGAGTTCGCACTTGTCATACTGAACCAAAGAATTCCCACTAACTATACTGTACCATGGAGTTCACTTCAGTTGTAAAGCTGTACCGTACCAAGGATATCCCACTAGCTGTACTGTACCAAAAAGTTCACTTTAGTTGTAAAGCTGTACCATACTGAGGATATCCCACTAGCTGTACTGTACCAAAAAGTTCACTTTAGTTGTAAAGCTTTTATCATACTGAGGACATTCCACCAGCTGTACTGTACCAAGGAGATAACATAAGCTGTACTGTACCAAGGAGTTCACTTTAACTGTGAGCTTTACTCTTCTGTACCAAAGAGTTCCTACTAGCCCTACTGTACCAGGGAGTTCCAACTAGTCATACTGTACCAAGGAGTTCCTAAAACCAATGGGTTCATCCTGGCCTTACTATTCCAATGAGTTTATCCTAGCCTTACTAAAAACCAATGGGTTCACCCGTACCTCGTATTTTCTCTTCCTCTTCTTGGGAGGAGCATCCGGGTCCTCAACCTCGTCCTCGTGTCCGGGCACGGTCCCGTCAGACACGGCGTAACCCTCAGCATCCATCTCCTCCAGGATCAACACCGTGTCCCACTTGCCCAGCGTCTTGGAGGGCCAGGCGTCCGCCCACAAGTTGTCCCCGAAATAGATGACCTGAAGTCAGTTTTAGTTTTAGTAAGAGTTTTACGGCACTTGCAACACAATAAGGTCATATAAGTGCCGAAGATTAGAGGTGTTACAAGAGTGTAACAAACACAAAAAAGAAGGAGAGGTCAGCACAACAGATGTTTGATAGGAAAGAAGGAGCAAACCACACCAAAGCATCAACCCTAGGGCCAGACAAGAAAAACATGACTATGGTCCAGGTCCTAAAAATATTCCCCCAAATACCATAGCTCCACACATTTTCCTGCATTCAGTAAATTTCAGCTATTGAAACGGGCCTGCAACAGCAATGTCCAAAATGGTAAGGGGCATCACTTCCACAGACTTAAGTGCTTAGTTCTCATTGGCAAATCCGGTCTTTAAAGCATACGGGTTTTCAGGACCAATACTAGAAAAAAGGAGAATACATTTGCAAACTCCCTTACTTAGACTCTTCAAAAATGTGTTTTCAAATACTGGTTGGCAGCTATGCATATGCATTGAATTTACAGATAAAAGACTGAAAGAAAAATGGACAAGATAATGGAGAGAAGTATGAAACATTGTTCCTCAACTTAATAACGAAGACAAACCTTAGGGTCTGTTTTTCCTGTCGTCTCACGGAGGAAATCCATAAGATCAACATGGTTACCGTAGCAGTATGCACCCCCTGATGTCAGACTCTTGACTTCGCCCCCTAGTTTTAAACCATCCTCTGGGGAAGATCAAAAGATTCAAAAGTGGCAATTATTGAGCTCTTTAATAATACATAAAAAAACAATAATATGAATTGCATTTATATAGCACATATCCACGCTCCACAGCAATGGCTTTAGTTTAATTTTAAAAGCACATCGGCACAATAACAGCTATTAAGTGTTGAGACAAAGCAAAATAATAAACACGCAAAAACAGACAGAAAGCAAAGGATTGGGACACACCAGTGACACCCTCCAACCACCTGCCCAGTGGCTTTGTTCAGGGCCAAAGTCAAGGGAATAGTATTGGTTCTAAAACTCTCTCTGACTGACAGCTCATTTAACTTCAGGGTAACTTTCTTGGTAGGAATGTTCATTCCAGTCAATCATCTTTGTCTCCCCCCACATGACACACAATGTGGCAGTCTGCAATGAGCCTGTAACATTTACATGTCTTTAGTTTTCGTAAGAGTTCTACGGCATATACAACACAATCAGGTCATACAAGAGCCAAAGACTTCAGGTGTTACTAAAGAGAGTAACATGCAAACAATAGAAGGGGGAGAATTAAGTCCAAAGAAGGAGAAAATCACACCAGAGCACCTGAAAACCGCCCACTTGCACAATTATCTAGGAAACCTGGAAGCACCCTTGCCCCAGCTGACCCCTGAGAATAGATCTACATAAATGGTCACTGAGTGAAAAGCTCTGATTTACATGAGCCATTTATCGAACCGGGAGTGGAAACACATCAGCAGTTGATCTACACTTTCAACCTTAACCCAAAACACCCAAGACTTTGGAATTTTGCCAATGTCTACTTACAGATGATTGGATTTGGATTTAAAATAACACCCTTAGAGAACCACCACCATCACCCCCTTCCCCTCCCCTTTGCAGACAACTTCCATGTCGTGAATCACACAGCACATGTGATTGCGACCCCATTAGTGTGAGCCAGGATAAAAACTTGTGTCACTCACCAACTACTGAGAAAGGCTTGGACTCTGTGAAGAATCGTGGTTTTCTCCCAGCGTACAATGTGAAATCAAAAAGAGACTTCCACTCAGACCTGAAAAAGGAAAAAAAAGTTTATCATGCAAACAAGAGAATTTGTTTCTAATAATGACAAAACAGAACAACTACTGTCAACTAAACCGAGTTCTGTGTTTTCTCAAAGAACACAGCTCCTGAGGCTTGTATTTTTTATTGTCCAATATAATGTACCCTGCTTTTAATTGGTATATTACAACTGTAACACTGATCAGTTTAACAAAACTATTTCGCTCACACATATGACATAACATAAAAGACAGGAATATAATACAAAAAAGTGCAAGATTTTAAATTCATGAAAAAACAAGGAAGCATATAATGCTATAAACAATTGTATCAGTATGATTTATTTCAGTTTTGAGAGAGTCAAAATCAACAGACTTCACCAACAGACTCTAGCGACAAAAGGAAGTACCCAAACACATGTTCCATGACGAGATGAGCAAAGTCCACATAGGAAGAGGTGAGGAGGAAGACCACACGGTTATCTTGTCTGAGGGACTTGAGCCAGTCCTTGATCTGCTGGCTCGCAGGATCTATGTACTTGCCAATGTTCTTTTTCATCTCCGGAAAATATGCACCCTTATCCTCTGTGAATGAGCAATCAACACAAAGTAAAAACTGTATATGGAAAAAAATGAAAGAATTGACTTCTTAAGGAATTGATACCTCCAAATTTTCTTTCTGTCACATCACATAAAGTAGCCTAAATGAGTACAGTCTAAAACGGTGCACTGCAAGATAGTTCAATCTTTCAGTACATACTCTGTACCAGTGGGTCAGTTATTTATTTCTAATTAATTTTTGTCAGTTTATTTACCCTATAAAGAATCATTTTCTGGGAGCTCTGATTGCATGGCAGTGCGTATAGATAGAATGCCCACATTCAGTGGGGTGGCAAAAAGAAGATTAAAACCATCGCCCCTGAAACGTATCACAAAGCTGTACACGTGATACTTGAAAAACAGATGAAAAGACTCTCTTCAATCTTACGTGCATACTGTGAAGGAATATACATGTCCTCCAAGGCATTCAAAACGTCTTTCCAAATGTGCTCAAACGTCGTCCTTCCTTCTTCAGTGCCCTGTGGAGGAAGAGGTTGGAACAGGGTGTAGGGCATAAATCATTTGTAATAGTTAAAACCTAACTTACTAATAACGAAAAAAAAAAAAAAAAGGATCAAACTATAAACTCCAATGAATGATTTCGAAGGTTATCCTTTGTCTTTAAAAAATCAGGCCGAAGGGCTAGAACCCTGATGGCTGCTGGATCGGAAAAGTAAAATAAAGTAAGTAAGTCTTCAAAAAAACAGGCTTGCTAATTCTTTCAAACCCCAACCAGGGACACTCATTGATATAACATCAGATTTTACATGATACTAACACACAAAATTACATCAGATGGGACCCGATTTTGGTGTGGTGTGTGTAAGGCTACCATGCCCCTCTGCCTGACATCCTGAGCGATGTATTATTAACATTCACATGAGTGTCAAAATCACTTTAGTTCCATATCCCACTCTGGGTATCCTTGTCATTATCAGCATCTAATTCAGAAAGATATTTTAAAAAACCAAAGCCGTCTTGTGTAGTATGCGCTGTCTTCCATACGAGTTTTGTCTCAGGCGGACCGGGTAGGGGATGGGGTTTCGCTCACTAGTGTACCGGTGGCAAGGGCTCAAAAGGTCAAAGATTAGAACTTAACTTTCTTTGCATCATAGTCCTATATCATAGCCAACATGCACTAACAACCTAAAACGCTTAGAAGCAAACAAAGCAGAATGTGCTGGTTCTAACTTATGTTATATACGTCTGTTAACAGTCAACTTGAGTGACTAAAACAATTAATCAGATATACATCACAAAAATAGAAAAGCGTAAAGGTCAACTTACTGCTTTGTGCATGTAGTCAATTATCTTGGCAAAAGCCACAAGGCCGGGAGTGTCAAAGTAGTTCTCAAAAAACCTCCACTCTGTAAAAAACACAAAACCGTATGAGTTATCGAGTGCCTTAAGGCTTAACTCCTTATCTCCAGCAAGCCGCTCCCAGTGGCTCTTGGTCGGCACTGCTGAGCTGGTGAGCCACTGGCAGCAGCTCGGGTACATTCCTTTACAACCACTTCGATATCGTACTACTTTTCGGCTATTGCCGAAAACAGATCTATTTTACCGGGAGTTCATTCATTTAATTAGATGAAAAACAGTTGAAATAGGTTCACTTACGATTTAATTACCAATTTAGCGGGGTATATATATGTCAATTTCAGATTTTGTACCAAAAGATGGCCCCAGCGTAGTGGGTTTACCCCCCTCAGAGATAAAAAGTTAAACACACGCTTTGTTTCTATTTCATAAAAAGATTCCATAACCTAATGGTGCCTTCATAGAACAAACAGACATATTACTTGCTGTTTGTGATGCTCAACCTGTAAACAAACATGCATTAGGATCAGAAATAGCCTTGCTAATTACATTATTTAATTAGAAAGGCACATTTTCCCAATCAGATGGAATTCAAGGCATGCCCCCCCCCCCCCCCCCCTTTCCTAGGTTTAAAAAATTGGGATAGGGTTTCATGGGGGCATGCACCCCCCCCCCCCCCCCCCCAATCCCCATTTTCCTTGCAATTTGATGTTTTGAAATAAGTTTCAAATTCTCTTGCAAAGAATGGTTTTGCGACAGTTCCAGTAGCCATATTATATATTTATATATATGTGTGATCTGCAGCAAAAAAAAAATACCCCCAAAAGCAATGCATTTGTGTGTGGGAGTGAAAGTTTAAATTTACCTGCTGCCCTTGCGCCTAGTTTGCTTGTACAAGTGAGGGACAAATATAGGGAACAGTAGAACATGTGCAGGACACGAGTTTATGTCAATGAACCTTCTCTTGACTTTTACCATAAAAATTATACTAACATCTAAGGAACTCCCGAAACCCTTGTCCTTTCCAATTGTGAGAGTAGAGAAACTGACAATACACATCTTTCTTTTTGGTAATGGGTGTTGTTCATGTGCACCATACATAATTATTCAGGACCAACTGCATGGAGCACCATTCCTTTAGAAGCACATATGAGGCCAACATCTTTTCTCTCGGAATTCAGTTATAAGAGAACACAGACCTGCTGTTTTACTTTAAGAGTTCACAAAAAACACAATCTTCACATTAAAAAAAACAATTCTCCCTTGCCACAAAGGAATAATTTCAAGAAATCCAACTTACTAGAGTCTATGCTTTTCATCCCATTCTTGAAAATGTCATAGTCTCCAAATTTCCTCTCAGCTCCATAGTCACGTTCTATTTCTGCAGCTGTCATCTTCTGAGTTCCATGTGTGGCTCTTTATTTGACATAGAAAATAAAAAGCAAAATCATGAGTAAAATCATTACAAAGGTTATTTGTCACATTCTTCTCACTGTTTTGGTATTATGACAGCATAGCAGTAGGGCAATAAACACAAACAATATCATAACGTAGATTCAGCCCCATAAGACATTTCAGCATACCTTTAACAAATGTTACGGACTATGATGACGACTTACTTCCAAATTTTGGTCCCTGTAAGCCAGTTCTAATCAGGAATGGAACTTAGTAATTTAGTGTGAGAAATGAACAACTTACATCTACAAGAATAATGGGCATAGGATCATTAATTTGATAGAGATTACAGGCAAAACTTTTATCACGCATCTGCAGAAAACTTACCGAAGTATTACGCCATCACTTCCAAGTTTCAGAATATTGCCTTTCTCAAAGTCAACAATGAGTCCTTTGTAACTATGAAAAGAAAGCATAGACAAGGCAAAAATATTAAAACATGAATGCAGTATAAATTCACAAGTTTATGAGATTTAGTGAGGCTAAAACAAAATAGTAAAAAAGGTAAATAGAGCTTTTATTTATCAAAATTTCATAAAAGAAGAATGAATGCATCATAAAACTGACACCTGACACTACTAAGCTACAAGCATTAACTATTTTATTGCAAGTCCAGCGCTTTATCATTTAATTACAACACCACCCTGTAACTGTAAACACAAAACGGACTGTTCTGAGATAAAATATAATACATACTGTGTTTACATATTTTTTCTCCAAAAAGGCAGGAACATGTCTAACCGACCAGACTACAAACACAAATATGGTCTTACAACTCACATCAATTCTTTGTCTTCCTGAAGTCTGTGAAAAATAGAAGCATCATATTTCTTGACTTCCACCAGATATTTGCGGACACAATCATACACCATCTGGTAGAGAGAGAGGGTTTATATTTCAATTATGTCAGAGCACCAAAGCTGATGAGAATTTACTATTAAAGTCAAAGGAAACTAGACACTAGACAACAAAACACAAAAAAATCACTTGGGTGGTATCACGGTGAAATCAGGTGAGCTTCAACATAAAAAATAGAAGAAAATAGCATTTTCCCACTCATTGGGTAATTTTTTAAAAATTCTTTTCATTTAAAGGCTCAACACCTTTTATGTCCATTTAAGAACACTTTTCTGAATGGATTTTACTGAAAAATGTTGATCAAAGGCACAAAAATCTCAATTTGCAGCTTCCAAGGACACTCTTCAAGCGTTGGAAGTCACCAAATTTGGCGCCCATTTTCTTGATAATTAATTATAATTATACACTCTGATGCCAGGCAACCCTCATCCCCTTTAACAGCAAGTGTCTCAACTTCTAAAAGATAGATGGCTATTTTTTTTCATCAAAAGTAAAACAAATGAACACGCTTTAAGACGATACCAAAAACTTCATTTCATATATACATATATGCCCAAAAATTGACGAGTGCTTGATTACCTTGCGGCGTGCCACAAATGTACATTTTCATTTAAAAAACACATGCATTAAGACGGTTGGAACATTATTGATAAGAGGACAATAGTACTTTAAAACTGTTTTAGCTGTTTTTATCTCAGAGGTCTATAGGCCCATAGAACATACATGGATCAGTCACCTTCTTGAATCCGATCTTCCTTGTTCTCAGAAAATCCAAATATTAAATACAGAACAGAACTCTATAAAAAGAATCTACATTTACAAGAAGATATACAAATCATAAAAATAGTGAGGGACAGAAAAGTTTCTATTATCTTCTCTTCACTCATTATGAAGACGCATCCATTGTTTTGGAGTACTTTTCACAACATATTGTTATTCGTGTACATTTTTCTATTCTATTTTCTTTATATTGAAATTTTAATGAGGCAGACAAAAACATGTATACTGTGAAATATATGCAAATTTATGTTTCTGATTTGTGTGTGATGGTTCGAAATGGAATGAAACATTGATTTAGATCTGCTGATGGTCGAACATAAAGGTGTCCGCTTCGTTGAGTTAAGAGGGTATTGCATGTTCAGTTAAAAATGACAGCTGTATGTATTCTTTGTAATAAATAAAATAATACAGGATGTAATCTTGATGAAAATGCTTCGTTTTGTGTGATCTTCAAAATCCAACTAAAAAAGAGTCACTGGCGAATCATTTGGTTAAATTTTTATAATACATGATTCAGAATTTGATATCATCTTCGCCATACACCTGATTTTTGTTGCTGCCAGCCAGCCAGCCAGTCAGCCATGCCTGCAGCCCAATGAAGATATATCGTCAGCCTGGTGATAAAACCGACTAACCCACAAAATATCCCCAAAACCTTTATTGGCCCTATCGATAGCAAATTGTCCATTTCATATGCTCACTCATAGTCAGATCTAAATTTTGTCTAGAAATGTCTTTAAAACATTAGAAATAAAACAGTATCACCCGGCATCCATCTGATTTTACCCTGCTGTTTCCGACTATCCCACCTGCGAGGGAGGGAATGAGGGTTGACTGTTTTTGTCGCGCTAACAATGAGGGGCCACGTGCTACGTTACTGACAAACCCCGGCTTTGACTCATCTCCGCACTTCGTTTGATAGTCTGGAATTCGCTCACGTAACCATGTGAGGTCTTCAAAAGGGAAATTTGTGTAATATTGCTCGTTGGTTTCATTTGGGAGTTATATAGATCTGGTTGTTCCCTCTTTTTTCTTCGTTTTAATGCTGCTGATAATGTTATTAATGACTAAAACTCCCCACTGTTCCCACAGAACTGTTGATCTCGTGACAAGACAATGCCGGTATTTCAAACGCATCTTTATGGATTTTGTTTTCTATGAAACTATTTTTTTCTGTCCACGTGTTCTTCTTTGTCTTTGTACTTGAAAGTTACCGAATTATGAAGGCATTTTCCCTTATTCGGACTACTGTCTCTTCTCCATATCATCTTTTCCATCGCAATTGAATGGACGAAGTCGGTAGCTTTTCATTCTTTACTAACTCACGCAGAAAAAAAAAATGTGGGACCTTTCCAACACACCATCTGCCCCCAACGAACGTTGTTTTTTAAAGTGCTTTTTCTTTTTTTTAATTTGCAGTGTTTATTGCAGTCATTACCTTCTGAAAAATCTTTCGACTTTCTTTGAAAGTTCATTTCGTTTGTGTTTTGTGTAGATTATTTTCTCAGTGTCATAACATAATGCTTCATCTTTTTATCAAACCTTAACTTACATAATGCTATAACATTCCATAAGACAATGCCACTCTTGCTGCGTCACCTCTGACCCTCAGCGCAGAGGAAAGTGATCCTCGTGACCAGGCTAATGTATCATCAGCTGATCATACAACAGTTATGTCACCATTGATCTCTGCAAAAAGGACACGGCATGAAAACGATTGGAAGGGTAACAAAAGGAAGAGGTTGAAAGAACTGGGGATGCCTCTACAAATGTCAAGGCACGAAGCGAGCAGGGTGTGAACATGATGTCCTTTGCAGTTGTAAACTGGTTGGTACAAAATGCAATGACATCACTGGTCACTCTCTTGGAAAGAAAAGAGAGCCTACGTAGGCTATATCCCACGATAAACAGGATAGACAAAAAGAGATCTTACACAGCAAGTGAAAACCCAAGGAGAAATTACACCCTTCAATACCACATAAAAGAGTCAATGGTCAAAGTTTGTAAAACAATCTTCATAAACACCACAGGCCTGACCCACTGGTTTATTCAAAGTGTCTTCTCCGAAAAAAACAAGAGCCCCCCCCCAGAACACATCACGCCCACCATGAGAGAGCCAAGGATGACATGTTTTTCCATAAAAGGAATTTTTTTTACAAACTTTCGAAGATATCCTCCTGTCTATAGATGACAATCCAGAAAACGTCAGATCTGCATCAAGTATACATGGAGAATTATGCAGAGAGGGTGAGAGCCACATTGAGCTATCAAGTGTTCTGACAAAAGTTCAAGAAAAACAATTTGGGTTGACTTTAAACCAAGAAAGACCAGTGCGACATTTGCACCAGCTTCGAATCTGGAAACCTAACAGAAACAGAATACACAGCGCATCGAATATGAATATGACGAAAGCTGTAGCTAGACCAGAGAAGGAGAAGGACAGGGAGGCTGCACTGAACCAAGAGAACAAAGTGTGTGTCCTTTGTATGGAGATCCAGTGCGTCCTTCTGGCCTCATCACTGAAGACAACCACCTTTTATTATAAAACAAAACTGGCTGTACACAATTTTACGATTTAGGATCTTGCCACTAAAGACACCAGATGATATGTCTGGTATGAAAGTGAAGTTGGTCTGAGTTTCAACAGTTTTCATTATGTTTGACTCACTAACTGATATTGCAAGTGACTGACTTCAACCACTTTATCATCTGTAGTGATTGGTGCAACTACTAAAACAGAAATGCCATCCTGGTGAGTGCAATGGCCTTGCTGGCCAAAGAGCTTGACTTCACAGTTGAGCAGAAATTCTCACCAAGGGCCATACCCAAATGGAGGTGGATTCAGTCCATGGCACTATTGAGCGATCGCTCCAAAACGCACTGATGTACACCCTAATGGACTACATGAACATCATGCTCCAAGCCAGACGCATCCCCAGGCCCTATGACGTTGTGTATCAGGGCTACAGCTTTTTCAAAGATTTCGCAAAGGTCGGCGAGTACAAAACAATCCGCCCAGGGAGAAAAGCAGGCGATCCTACTGTCACTGACTTGCAGGCATCAAAGTACACTCAATACTTTAAAATTCAGTACAAGCTAAACTTTGATGATGGATGGCAGGCGCTGCAAGGACCAAGAAAGCTGAACACCCAATGTACGACGGTTACTGCTGGACCTCTCTGTAAAGACAGATTGAAGATAATTGCCAACCAGTATAAACATCTACTGGAGTTGAAGGCCGTCGTACCCCGATGCTACCACAATTACCATAAAAATTTGCCTCAGTAAGAAGTTTTGAAAGCGATCAAGTCAAATTCGATTATTGTAGAGTCTTTCAAAACAATGGTAACTTTTGTCGTATTGCCTTATTATTGCCAGAGGACACAGAGTGAGACAGACATGCTCTTCTTTTGTCAAGAAAACTCAATAACGTAGTTCTTGTCAAGCCACGCACCTTGAAGAAAGTTGGTACATTCTTTGATACGTACAAGGTCTTTTTGTATAATAATAATATATTATTATGTAACCAACTTCACCGAAACTATTGCTGAGGTAGCAGAGCTTTTGTGTGGCTTTCTGCTTTCATTTCTTTCTTAGTATTACTTTTTTTAGGCATTTAAAAGGCCACCCAGTGCCAATAGTACCATGTCAGACATTGTCATAAATTCTAAAGGCCTGCTGATGCTGCTGCTACTACTGTTGTTTTTGTAGTTGTTGTAGTTGTTGTTTTTGTTGTAACTGCTCTCCCTTACCCTTCGAGCCTCCTGTTCTTCTACTTAAAATGTAATTAATATACCCATTGCTGTGTTCTGCTTCTTCTACTTCTATTAAATGTTCAACTTTGTGACTGCTGTTTTTGCCCGAATTGACTTGGAAGCACTGAAATGGCAGCAGCTGATAGTATGTTGGTAGCAATAATATCGTCCTCCTCCTCTTCCTTCTTCTTCTTCTTACTCCTCCTCCTCCTCCTTTTTTCTCCTTATCCTCCTCCTCCATCTTCTTCTTCTTTTTCTACAAAAGATCACGACGATTGAAACAACAGATCAAATACGTTACCGTCAAAGGTGGCTTGGCTGCATTCAACCAAACTCAAGGCCAGCAGTGGCTTCCTGATAAAACCGGCCAACCCAATTGAAGGTTGGTAGGTTTTATCCAGAAAAATTTGAGTGACATAACCGTCTAACACACGCAGTTTCATTAAAAGGGATTTTTGAAGGAAAAAAAAGGGTCTAGT